CCCCAAAACCCCAAAACCCCAAAACCCCTTGGGGGAGGGAGGGTGCTGAATATGGTATGAGAATGTTTGTAGGGATTATTAGGTTGGGTTTAGGGGTAAGAGTGGGCAGGAAATTGGGAATTAAGGGGCTTGGATTTGGATAGGTGATGTGCTGAGGAGGTTTATAGGAGATGGGGCGCTTGGAACGGTTAAATTAGAGATTTTTGATGTTTAAGATTATAAATTTTAATTTTAAAGGGGTCATTAGTTCTTAATCAGAGATGTTTCTAGGCTATAAAAATGGTTAGAATTTATATTCTATGTCCCTAAGCCTCTTTCTTTGATTCTAATCATTTTCTGAAATTAGATCCTTAACATAAGATAAAATCTCTAAATAATTTTGAGATATCAAAGCCACATAAGCAATCTTAAATATTATTATCAGCCAATAACTCCATTAAGTCTCTCCTTGGTATAATCTAAAAAATTCCAACCTCAAACTTGAATGTAACGAATTAGAAATCAGAGGACATCTCCACTGTTCCTTAGCCATTGAGCCACCGGCTTATTCCAAATTAGCTGCTCCAAGAATTTTGCCATTTTCTTAAGAAATGCTCCAAAAGAAATTTTAGCTAAAATCTCTAAAATCGTGTTGAACATCACTTATTTAACAACAGACTCTGTTGAGTTCAGTTGGGCTCATAGCCAGGTCTGACCGCATTGAAAGCTCTTTTAGGATCCTTAGATTTTTGTTATATGCAACAAATTTCGATATTTGTTAACATCTTAATAGAAGCTTCCCTGGTTTATGAATTATATGGCAGAGATATATAACTTTTAATATAATAACAGCATAGGCGGTAGAGAAGTGGTATTAAGCAACCCTCTTCCCCGTTTGGAGAAAAAACTTTTATTTACAGCAAATTTATGTATGAGTCTATTAATTTTTTGCTTAAAAAATTAATGAAGTTGTTCTTAAATTGGAACAAAAGTGATAATTAAGACGAGATTGCAGCAACTTAAGTCTGAGAGTGCACCTTCTACTATATTAGTTTTATAGCCAACTTCTATAGGAAAATGGAGCTCGAGGAGGGGGCAATACCAAAAATGACTTATCAACTTCTCGCTAGTGCTATGTTTACGAATAAATGGGAATTTAGCAAGATGCCCAAGCATACATAAATAATACAGCTTCTAAATCTGAATTTTTTGTTTCTCTCCGTAACACTCGTTTTCCTCTAACTATAATTTTATGATTTGGGTTATGACCATAATGCTTTGCATATAAATAAAGAAAAAGTCAAAATTAATAATTTAATTTTTTAACTATGGACTTATTCGAGCAATCACATAATTTCAGGAAGTCAATTTTAACAGCTTCTGCCACCAAAAATTGGCTATTCCAGCTTGAGAAGACTTATTGCCTCTGACCGTTGGTGTTCTGCTCTAGTGGAAGCAATAAAGGAACTTGATCCATTGAGAATCAATCCTTTTCCTCTTCAGAAGGTTTGAAAGTTCTTACCCAAAACAGGTAATATTTTATATGAAAAGACAGCATTGAAGCTTCAAATTTTGTTATTTCCCCATGCTTAACAAATGTATAGCGGAAAAACACAAGAAGAAAGAAATATTAGTACTGAAGAAGTAAAACAAACTGAGGAAGAAACAAACAAACTGGAGATCTCTCCTGAAAATAGTGAATCTTCACCTGAAGAAGAGAAAGAAACTCTAACAGGAGCTAGAGAAATAAGAAGGAGAAGGAATCGTTCTGCTAGATTAGACATTACTGATAATCTGAGACAGTTGAGAAGACTTCTCCAAAGTGGGCATAGAAGAATCTTCAGATGTTCTAACAAAAAGACGAGGTATACTAAAGACAAGTACCTTGGAAGGAGGTCCAAATACATTGGAATTACTAAAAACAACATTCATTGGCAAGCCTTGATCAATGTGAATCATGAGAAGAAGTACATAGGCACTTTTATAGATGAAATAGAGGCAGCAAAGACTTACGACTTACATGCAATAGCAATGCAGGGGAAAAGAGCACGCTTGAACTTTAGCTACACACCTGAAGAAATTGTGAGCATTATTGATCACTATCTTATTCACAGACGTATAAACCTCCATGAGAACCTCTAATAACATTTACTATTGACTAATAGAACTCTATTTATATCTTTCTTGGCTTAAAACTCCGACTAACAAACTGAGGCTTCCATATTGATTAGTTTCATCGATGATATTACCCTCAGGGGTTTTGGGGTTTTGGGGTTTTGGGGTTTTGGGGTTTTGGGG